CAGCAATACAGAGAAAGTGTTTATATGGTTTTGTCTGATCTAGATGGAATTAACGCGCTTTTGCTCAATACAAACAAGAATTTTAGCGCGCCTTTTTAGGAAAGTTTTTAGATGTGCATTATATGTATGTTTTTGGCGTACCTCGTTAACTCTTTATTGGCATATAAATTAATTAGAAGGATGTGTGTAATTCTTGTAAGGCTAGGTATACAAAATATAACACGTAATACAGAAGCAACCTTTCACTAATAAAATTATTATAACTCTTCTATTACCTTCACCGAGCACGCGCTTTGATATGCAACAGGGGTAAATGACACGATGTCCAAGAAATATACCCGCCAATTATCCACGGTGCTTAACTGCGAAACGATATGAAATGGACGCATAAATGTATAAATAAATAACTTCATTTTCACACTCAAGGTTACTTTTATTGTTGAGTTTCTAAAAACAAGCGGTGTATATAAAACCGTCAGCCGTACAATGAAATCCTAATGACATTAACATAGGCGTAGTTTTATAGGTCTCTAGGATTGTTGACAAAAATCATAATCGCTCGATAAATATTAATTAAACATTAAACATTTTTAGGTAATACGTTAAATCGTTTGTTGATAACAAAACGTTATTAGCATAATGAAAAATTCATATGAATAATTGTACATTCGATTCGTAATTAATTATGCGTACCTACATTATAATGACTAAATTTCCAATGGAGAATTTAATTTGATCGATGCAACATTGCAACCTACCCATCTCGTTGTTGTGCCGTGCAGATGTCACGAAATTAATTACTTTTAAAGTATACTGCATAATTGAAATGTTGAAGCTTATCGCAAGGATGAAAAATTAATGAAAGAAGTAGGTTGGTTAAATTGAATCCTTATTAGCTAGTATAATTTTTTTCACTAGTCAATAAACTTTAAATAACTCGCGCCTATTTTTATTACAGTAAATTTATTTTTTTTATTAAGCAGATACGCCCATGCGTACGGAGAGTGTTATTTACCTGAGTTTTTCGAAGTCAATAACACTTTTGTTTTATTTAGAAGCGCTTAGAGCGATAACGGAACATACGCGTGAAAATTTTGAATAGATCTGTTTTTTATCCGTTTTATTTTAACAAAGGGGACATCCTCTCTTTGTTACGATGCCAATTGATAAAATAACACTATATTTTTTTTATAAAAATTGTCACACCAAAAGCAAGAATAGAAAAAGACTTGCATAAGATTATAAAAAATTATACTTTTTTTTATGGTAGCCTTTTTTACTATGTACTTATCTAATTCACATTGTGAGTAAAAGTTCTACTCTTCTACTAGTAGTTATCTTTCTTTGAACAAGAACATGACTTTATCAACTTCATGTATCTCGTTCGCTTAACGAGCTCTTCATTTAGCTTTCTTATAAGCATCTCTTTAGCGCGCTATTTTTGAGTTAAATCCTCAGGTGAGCGAGAAAAGTGCGTAGGTTTCAGGCCGGCGAGTCAGAATCTGCAAATCCTTTAAAACAAACTACTAACCGTAAGTATTAAGCAAACAAACGGGCGTATTTATTTGCACGGAAAACAACAAACGCTTCCTGCAGCTATACTTTCAATGATATTAACGTGTACGAGAACCCCGCCCTTTTGCATTCGAACCGAATCGTGTCGGTGTGAAATTTTTTCCGAAAAATATCGGCGTACATCTATCGGTTTGCAGCCAGTTCCGGAAGCTCGAGATAAATGCAGCGCATGAATAATTTCATTGTACCAGTATTTTAAGGTCGTCTTACGAAAACCTTTGACTCAGCGCTCGGCCAACAAGGAAGAATGAAAGGCTCCGATTCGAATGGGACCAAGAAAGAAATGCAATGTAAATGAACGTGTTGTTTACACCTACTTCAATTAACTACTGAACTGGTCATAAAAAAGGGATATTAAAACGTTTGTGTGAAGTCGAAGCGATTCAATAAAACATACAAAGGATTGCAAGTAGATTAATGTAGGTACGAATTAACTAATATCTAATAATTGTTCGAAGGAAATAACATCATCTTGATATCGTCATCACTATATTCTCAACCCTTTTTAAGATAAATTTCTTAAGCGCGCGATCATTTATCTGCGAAGACGTTACACGATGTTTCTACATCCTTGAATATTAATGTTCTTTTACACTTACTCAGGTTAAAACCACGTTCTCTTCTGAATACCAAATGACGGATTTCTATTGTAATTCCGGTTGTGTACTTGGTAAACAAAAAAATCGTTGTTAATTGAAAATATGAAGAAAGGAAGGAGCTAAATATGGAATGTTTTGCGTCGTTCGATTCCATCGGAACACGTTTTATTAGATAAAAAAAATTATCCTCCGAGATCATGGTGGCTTTATATTTTTATAACGTACCTAAAAGCAGGTGGTTAGTTAATCGGATTTCGAGGAAAAATTAAAAGCGCATTCGATTATGTTTTAAGTATGTAGGTAATATTAAAGTATTTTTTAAATAATCAATTATCTCGATGCGAAAAAGTCGTGATAACATTTAGTAGATTTGGAGGTCGTAGTTTTTAATGCGATAAAAAAACAATTAAATACAATGTATAAAAATTCACCTACGGAATTGCTAATAATTGAACCAAGGCCTTTTTTGACTAATGAATAAAAACGTACAAAAAATGCATGACCAAATGTGGGCTTCCTAATTCTCCGAAAATTTAGTATTTTTTATTCACGTTTCCCTTTTAAAGGAGTAGGCTTGTGTTTCCGGATTCTATTGTTGGTTACATTACCAACGAGGTCTTCTATTCTCTTCGAGTGCGTAAGAATAAGTACCTACTAATTTCATAAATCATGTACACCTTTTGATTGAATGTATAAAACACAAATCGTATATCACATCGGACAAGTTACTTTGTTAAATCGATTTAATAAGGAGTTAAACTAAAAAAATAGAAGTCTTCATGATTGATTGATTATTAAGTATAAGTGTAGAATATTTTTTTATATTCTAAAATATTCTGGATAGTTCAGAATTTAAATCAACATACAACATATCGTAAGTTTAACTGTGGTCCGTTAAATAAACAATTTAATCAGGAACCGGAGGAAGCGGATAGTTTTTCTTATCTTTTTGTTTGTAAACTGCATTTTATATGTATCGTAAAGAAAGTTAGAGATAGTATTGTAGTGCTTAAACTTGTATTTAGTTCAAGGGTGTTAAATTTATTCGAAATTATCGGATGTGTAACCAGTCGTTCGTTAATTACCTACATACTTACAATTATTTCTTTTGTGTATTGTTATAACCTTAAAAATTATTATTTACTCGTTTACTCATTTATACGCATTTTAAATAAATGGCAGTAATAAATATACTATAAATATTATTGTTTGCTAGGTATTTTGAAATTTTAAAGTATATTATTAGAAACTTTAACAAGTGATATACTTGCTTAAACAACAATTAAAAATTAATATAAGATTATGTATGATTTTGATATGTCTATTATGACTCAAGAAAAGAGATAACGTAAAGTAGTTCTCTAAATACGTGAACATGGAATATTAATTTTAAAAGCATTCGAATGTGCCATAAAATGTGTTCAAACAGTTAAAAATTACTCGTAAGTAAAAAACGCCATTAAAATATTTAACTGACGCATTCAATTTTATTGCCATCTACTAAAATCCTCAATAATTCCATCTATCTGTCGAGCATCCTTAAAAGGCGCAACATTCGTTTTTTCCACATTATCGAATATGCGACCATTTTTCCTCTATCATTACTTTTATCTCTTACTGTAAAACTACTGCTAAATTCCGAGAATTACGGGTAGCCGGTACATAAAACAATCCGAATCGGCATTTCAACATCTCGACAGTACAGCATTGTGCCGTTAGCGTGCGTCTGTTAGAAATAAATCACTAAAATCGAGAAATTCAGGTCGTATATGCGATTCTTATACGGAAAGGTGTACGTAGGTGTTGCTGTTCCTCCGCCGTACCGTCGAGAATCCAGCAGCAAACTCAGAAGCACATGTAAATTACTACAATTTGTATGTTTATTTTTCCTAATATGCTTTAATCGACAGAATGGTTTTCGCTTCTGGTGTGATGTATATTTATAGGAAAATTGGTAGATGCATGGGATAAACAATGGCCTAAAAATACTGGGTAATGCCTACAAATATTTATTAAAGAATTGGTTACTTTGCTAGAACGTTAGATAATGTCAACCAATTTTTAAACACTTATTTATTATTGAACATGCTAGAACATTTAACTCTGCGATACATAGTAGAATTTCGCGAATTCTATCTTTTATTTATGGCAAACAATACTAATGACTAATTTACTTTTAAACAATCTAGTTAATTGGTTGTTTGGAGACATCCGTTCCAATTTGGTAAATTTCTAATTTTTAATTAGGGCAAACTTAATCACTGTAATTGTTCTGCTCGCTATCAATTTTCTACTTGAAATGATTCTCGACTTTAGGATAACGATTTTAAAACGAACTTACAACGAAGAAATTTCGCAGAACAATGAAAAATGTAAATAGTATCAACTGTACTCGCTCGGTTTTCCATCAAATGATTTCGACGGTTTCCGGGAAATGTGAGAATATTTTTTTTTTGTTTATAAATCGCCAGTGACAAAGAACTGAAACTGTTAAAGAGGATGTGATTTCGTACGTACAATAACGCATGGTGTTAGGAACATTGTTCAAAAATTAAAGTAACTGTAAAATACAATATTTCATGTAACAATGGGATACTCAATCGCTAAACGTCAAACACTATGGAGTTTGTTATTATGTCGGCCTCAATATCAATGGATAAACATCGATGTCTATTGTAAGCAGTGAATTATATTTAACAAATTAGGATTGTTATTAAGTTTGAATTACTGCAATTATTGGTGATGGTTGCTACTTTAATTCACACGCACACACACTAATAGAAATATAAAATTGATAACAAAATTTTAATATAATACATTTTTTACCTGAGGCTCTAGATAATCCCAGTAAAACTCCTTCTGTAATATCCCATCATAATGCCAAAAATACTGAAAACAATGTTCAATCACTTTTAACACGAAGAAAAGCGCGAAATTCATTTTACACTAACACACGTGTTCATTCTCAGTTGTAAGTCCAACGTAGTATCGAATGATTCGACTTCTAACTGTGCAAGTAAACACATAGTAGTCTCTATTTACGCATTTGGAAGATTTATTTTTATTTGAATATTCATTTCATCGAGTAGCGAAAAAAATATTTACTCGATTCCGTACTCAGAAATTTATTTTTATCAATCTATAGGTGTTTGTATGCATGTGAGTTTGTTGTTGTATACTTATCTAGTAAAGAATAGCTAATAGTTGCGATTGAACACATAAAGATTGATAAATTTGGAATTACAGGGGAAAGGTCAATGTCTGGCTTCTGAATATGATTCAACAGAATAAATAGATAATAAAGTTTCTAAAGGTTGATTCTGTATGATTCACAGAATGCTAGGAAACTTCAATTAGGTGAAAAATTCCTAGTTCTTTATACCTAATCTTTAGACTTACGTTTAAATTTCAAACGGCTTTTAATGTAAATTCGTGTATAAAATACCGTTAATTTCGTAGAATCGGAACGCCAAAGATTTTGTTCGGTGTAGCAAGGAGACTCAAATGGATTCAAGGTCGGGTAAAAACAATATACTTAAAAACGTATTATGGTATAATTTGGGTGTAAAAATGATCGATTACAGATCTATTGACCCAGTTTATTTGGCACATATTCTAAAGGTTAGATCGTACAAACAAAACGCAGCCTCAAACGGTAAGATCCGGAGATAAGGATTTGCTCGACATTATCCTGTATTAACCCACATATGTATCACTAAGAGGATTCATCAAAATATAAATCCTAAACTTATACCTATTGGAAAAGAGCATTGTACACAAAAGTACGAACAAAAGCTTATTTATTAATTTATGACTCTAGTTTTATGCGCTTAATCTTCAGGAACCAAATAAATCTTATCTGCACAAAATAAAACTGTAGGTAATCTTAACCTTATTGTGAATCAACGGTTTTATGCAGTTGAAACTTTCCTTGGAGATTACAATTGATAAGATATAATTTCATATACCATTATTATTGATAAGAGCGATAGGAAGTATAGGCGCCAATTAACGTGGCCCAATTACTAAAATTACTATGCTAATATAATTGATAAGAATTTAACATGTAGGCACTTTATCATAACTATGTTATTTACTATCTGTAAACGTACATATGCATACATCTGTGCCAATTGCATTATTTAATTTGTTTTCTAAGTTAAATTTATTTGAATTAATAAAATATGTTTTCAAACTTTTAATCTCTTCTTATCTACCAGGTGAAATCATTATAAAATTTTAGAATAAAGTTATTATTAACTTTATGTATAAATTGGTGTAATATGAATATTTCTAGTAATTTTCGTTCCTTAAAAGCATATTTATGCAGATTTAAAAAGTAATAAAATGTCAAATTCAATCGGCTAATTTCAATTTACTGTCATCGTGCCATTATTTTCTCCAAAAGCGACAGGTTGCGTGAATGTATCGGAGAATACCTAAATAAAATGGTCCCGATTCCATTAATTTTATTCCATATTGATAAAACTTTGGATACAAGACATTACTTACCCATTAATAGTAAACTGACAAATTTGTCGATCAAAAATTCCAATTTTATATCCAACAATCGAATCCCGTACGAATGTCGTACGTTCGATAATTAGCTGCAAATTATGGCGGAACACCAGCAGCATTTTACTGCATTATGCAATAGAACAATATTACTGGCACAAGTGCGCAGTCTAATTTCGACAAGGACAATCAACTGGTGATACAAATATAGTTCCTTGCAATCTTAGCTCTTTTGTTATCAAATTTCTTCAACAGAACCACGCTGAAATTAAAAATAGCTCAAGCGACTTTTACGAAAATGATAAAACTGCAGGGAATTTATGCAAATAAAATAACGCCGTGCTTCGACGTCTGGAAGAGATAGGCCGAATTGACAACCCATTTAATTTATCTGTCACCAAAAGGAAACGGCTTTAACAGTCACGAATGGATACCGCACTTTTTTTCCTGTTTATCTGGTTTTTCACGTATCGATTTCCTATCAGTTGAAACATTTTGCTGGATAATCATTTCCCGAAATTTTATTATCCACAGCGCTGCGGAAAATTAATGAAACATTTATTAGAGTTTCCCGGAGCCTGCTCTATTATTTACCGGAATATTTAATTTACGTTTTCACGTACAATTGATATACGATGCGAATATGGAGAAGATGAAAGTAAACAAAAATTAATTGCAAAATATGCTGGATAGAGTTTGTGGATAAATTATATTTTTTATTTGGTTTTACGAAATGATTGCTCATTAAATTTTTGCAATCAAGAGCTATACTATATTACATACCGAGCTTAATCAGTTTATATTTTATGAATGCTATCGAGGAATTCAAATAAAACAGTCTGGAAAGTTTTTCGTTTCTTTGGGAGCGCGTTATTTGCTATGCAAGTATTTGTTCTATCTCAAAGTTAAGGTTCTAAAATCGATGATTAATATCCAAAAAAATAGCGGCCTCAATGTTTTTATAATTCAGCAGACGTAAAAACATAAAAAGTAACGTAATAAAATTTGCGCTATTTAATTTACAAGAGAGAAACACTCGGTACAGTATAAAATCGAATTAGGTATTTAGTTTGTAATTAAATAGTTTACGATTCGCTAATGTTGACAGTTAATTATTGAAGTAACCGTATTTCAATGTCAACGCTCTTATAAATTTGGAAGTAACGTCCCACATGCGACATTCACGTTACGATTTTACAAGTTCTGGTTAATGATTTTCTATTATTTTAGTTCCATTTCGTGCATTTACGCGAATATTTAGTAACCACCGAGACATGTTTGCGGATAAATTTAGATTTTCTACTCGAATATAATGGGTTGACACGTCGATAGAAATCGCTATTTGCAATCAAAACAGTATTTGGATAACGGTTGTTTATTTTCGCGCAGGATGTTTAAAAATTCCGTTTATTAATGGCAAAGTTCGAATTGAGATAATTACCACCTGAGAAGAATTTTTGAATGTCTTCAGTTTGTTTCTTTTTAATAAGGTCAATCCCAAATTTATAGGAAAGATTAGCAAGACTGGGGAATAAATTGATTTCTGGTTAGATCTATAGGAATTCTTTGGTAATAAAAATTTAATTACCAAAAAAATTTAAATTAATACCTAATAATCCAACAAATGATGTGATTATTCGAAATAAATATTACGTGGGTATTGAATGCATGATAAATCTGATTAAAGATCTGATTTTCAGTTAAAATAGAAAATCAATGAAGTGTTTTAGCATTCGAGAAATGCTGTAAATTATTTAAGTCTAGTAAACGATTTGGTCTAGGGACGCAATTGAAATTAAAAACAAGCTATTTTCGACAACTTAAATCAATATTTTTTAAATGTTTTATTTGCAAAGAGTTACGAAGTTGCAATTTATTTTTATTGAAAGCACTTAAACTAGAGCAAAATATTTTCGCAAAAAATAACTATCAACGTGGAAATTTTTTTGGAAAAAAGAAACGGAAGTTTCTCTATACAATTTAATGACAAAATTATGTTTCTGTTTTTTCTATGACCATCTTCGGGTCACATTGACGCAATTTTACAGGTTCTTGAATTCTTGAATTAATTGTTTAGCTGAATATTGTGAGAAACTAATTAATAATAGAAATTATATACTGGTAAAAATAATGGGAGTTTCTAAATAATACCCAATTGCAGAGATTCTTAGATTTGCGTGGGAGGCTTGAGACACTTGCAAAATTACCCAAGGGCGCGTTAAATAGATAAGGTCATAGGTGATACAAGAATAATTTATAATTTCCTAATTTTCAGAAAATACCCATCAACTCATCATAGAAAATAATGCAGTTTTTTTTTAAATATATTTTGAATTATTTGTTTAATGAAATAGGTAAATTTGTACACAACGACAATTAGGGGGTAACCTTATAGAAATCTTAAACCTAATATTCAATTAATTAAAAAAATAATATATTTAATTATTACTAAATTATTTTGAATGAAAAAAAATGATCTACTGACCTGCTCAAACACCAACATGTTTGCGATTTATCCAAAAACAGAAAAAGTCAGTTCAACTGTAGCTACCCCAATAAGAGCAACTTGGACACTTCGAACATGACAAAAGCACAAACGCGAACCGATAGAACAGCTGACTAGCGTCGAGCGATATATCGTGGATACCTCCGTTAGAAAATCAGCGTTCGTTTTGCTCGATCCACAACGTGCAGTTGACTGACTGGTCTGGTGGCCGGATCGCCGTGTAGACGATGCGATATCAGATCATTAACTTCAGGACTTCGTATTTCGTATGGGGGAATTCGACGGTAGGTATTCTACGCCGGAATCGGTGACTCTACGTGGATGCCGCTGGATTTTTTATTAGTCATTGAGTTTTTTTTTGATACATATTGTGAAATTTTGAGATAAAATAACGTTGTATAACGATTTTTGATGGGTTGATAATAATTTTCGGGCGATGCATCGAAACGGCCGGAGATCATTGTCCTTTGAGTGCGATTGCAACAAACTGGGTAGTGGAATTTAAAAGGAGAGAAGACGTTAAAAATGAACAACACATTGTTGAAAGACCAGTTTTGGTGCCCGCATCAGAAATTGTTGATGTCGTATACCAGACAATTTAGGGAAATCTTATGCGTTTATATAAAATACTTTATACTTAACATTTCTCAAATTTCATAGTAAAAAATTAATTCAAAACTAAAACTTTCTCTACAGCTTTAAGTACTCTTCAAATTCTATTCGAATAAAATGTGAAGATACTGTAGGTATTCCATTCGACTTGAACTCATCACAACCTCAGACATATAATTCAAAATTACCTGCACATGTTTTTACATAATTCTCAGAATAAAAATTCGATAAAATATTAATCCTTTTAAATAACACTCTCGAACCTTTATCAATATCTAAACAATGAATTCGAGTTAATTTACCTCTGTAAAACAGACTTCCAAGTACTAATTATGCTATTCATTTCATTGAAACACGAAATGCAACCTCTTTGTAAAAAATATCTTACGCATCAATTAGGCGAATTAATTTTCGGAATTGTTCGCAATAAATCAAACACGTCGGCGTTTACGTTATCATTTACATAAAGAGTTTTATACCTGACTACATCAAACGAAAATAAGAGCAAATTTTAGGAGATCCATAAACACACGGACCGGACCTCCCATTACGATCGAAAACCAAAAGTGAGCCGTACAAATTTAGATAATCGTATAAGTAAACAATAGTTTGAATTTCAAACGAGAGGCGAAAACCCAAACAAAACATGTAGGACAGGAGGTTTACTTATATTGCCTACATTCTGTTAAAATGTGTGAGAAAGGATTATAAGAGGTATGAATAAAAAAAACAAAATTAAATGGCCAAATCAAATGAATGGATGTATGCCGAAAGATTCGATATCCCCGATTACGTTCTTAGCCATATCTTATGCAGATACACATGTAGTACCTACACCTTTTCATTAATTTTAATTATAATATTTAATTTGATAATCTTGACTTTTTTATGCTCTTGCTGCGTTGTAATGATTCGTATTTACTATATGTGCAGATAAAATTCTACCGAGTACTTTGTGATTCAACAGCTTCATTTATACTTTCAATGGTTAATTAATTTTCAGGAAACGACTAGCGCGCATTAATTTATGCTGTCCGCATAAAATTTTCTTCCTACAAAATTATACGTGTATTCTTCGGCGTAAATTCAACATTAATATTCTTTTGGGAAATGTGACCCACAACAAACTGCACCGATCGCACGGGCAATTCACCGTCTGCCTGTCTACAGGTAGGTAGAATTTTTTTCCATCGACGACCATAGGAATCGATTCACCTTTTTGAGTTCAGTGCGCCCAGATGTTTAATTATACAGAAAACCTACGTACAGCCTAGTCACTAATCAAACGGAGAGGATGTTTCGAATTTCACAATCTGCCAAGATTGTCACCGGTTGATTTCTAATTCGCCGATATGTACGTGAGAAACGGTACGTGTTTGCGCCAGTAATTTACCGTTTTATTAATTGTTTACTGTTTAATTAACACCTTTAATTCTCGCAAAAAAAGTTATTTTATTTACTAATCTAAATTATAAGTGGATTATAATTTTTGTAGCCCTCAGTTATCGCCTCTTAAAGGAAAAAACCCACTCGCTACTTTTGTCGCTCATTAAAATGCGATTTAATGATAGCCTTGATCTCGAATTAAATTATTTCTATCCAAACAAGAAATATAGTAAATAAATAACGAGCATTATGCAATGAAATTCAATATTAAGATCTACTTATACAGTACATATTCCATGTCATACCTTATTTGATAAACGATGGAATTAACTAAACCACTTAATTTTATTAATAGAGGAAGTTAATAACGCAATAATGGGGCATTGGAGGTTCAATTTTTTATAACAAACCTATATTTAAAAGAATATTTTACTTCCGCGTTAGTTAATTAAACACATCATCTGTGAAAATATCTGTAAACGTTACTATTGATCCTGATTAAAAAAATGGATTTACCTCACGCCTTGATTGGTATTGATCGGTATTTAAGAATGAACAGGAAATATTCTTATTAAAAATTTATACTTGAAGTCTCCAGAAAATTAATTATTTGATTATTCTATGATAGATTTGTTATTCAAACCTTTGATAGTTGAATTGATACCTACTAATTTCTAACCAGTAGAAACTAATAAAAATTATAATTGAATTGCAAAAAGAATCGCAAAGAAAAACCCACTGTGAATAATTCTATATCTAATAAGTTTCATTTTCTAATTTGAGCAACCTTTTTTCTAGAAAGTATTACTCAAACGAAACGCAATGAATTTTATTAGAATACACGCCTTGCATTAAAAAGCAATAAAAACTAAGCTTTACAATCGCATAAGGAGTAAATGTTTTTTCAGGAATTCTTTTTATATAACAATCATAATTTTCGGTAGATAAAAACTTCTTCCAAAAACGCAACTAAATAAATACTGCTTATGCTAATGCAGTAAATAATTTAAATAATCGCGTGTTAGTCATTGTTTAAACATCGACTTCACTGATCATTAATAAAAAACGGTTTTTGGGATGGTCGCAAAAAATTGCGCACAAAAAATTAGAGTTCAATACACTCTACTCTCGTTTTAACTGTAAACGTAACATTTTGCCGAATTACAAAATATGGTTTAATGTGGCGTATCTATTTTAAACAATGCGCAAAGTAATTTAAAATTTGCACTAGATTAGCTTCATTTTATGACCAATTAGGTGCTTATTTTTGTATCTCAAATGCCCGATTTGCATACTTTCCATTCTTTTTGGGTGAAAAAGGACTTAGTAAAACTGCAATCTTCGCCTCAGGAAGCAAAACAATTCAGAAATTAAATTTGTTTAAAATCATAAATTGTAGATATCTTTTTTTTTAATAAAAAAGAAAAAAAGTCTATCTGCGATAATTTTTCGTAGAGTTGTATGAGTTATTGTGTAATTTTTCACCTTTTTTTCTGTTTTTTTGAATTCTTTTCTATTACTCCGGAAAATTATTAATCGTTCAACTAATTAAATCTAATAGTATGAAAAATTTTAATTAAAAAATAGGTGTCTATTTGAAAGTGGTATTGAGGTTGAAATTCACATATCATTCTTTGGCGTGGGTTTTCGGCAAAACGAACACATTCACCTTGATTCAAAATTGCTCAACATTTTAGCGAAAACTAATTTAACGGTATAAAACATTGCTGTGTGAAGTTCAACCGAAGTTGAATTGGGTATTTATTTTACTAGCAAACTTGTCAGATCATGAATTGTTTTTAATACACAGAACACCTAATACGCATCCCTATTAAAAGAACTTCATTCGAACATTTACAAGAATTAACAATAAAAATAATAAATTCACCAATTTTACGACCGTAAGTTAATAAGTATTTATTTTATTATTAGTTAATATTAAGTTGCAGGTAAATAAATAAGTAAAAGTGCTATATTTCTTCTAAAAAAGGAAATATTTTCTTGAAATTAACGTCCTACAAAACGAGTTTTAACATAATGTATATTGCAACAGATCTCTTTACGTTTAGTTACAGCAGATGTTTACTACGATATAACAGACACCAACACAAAAATTATTCAGCCACCGATCCAGCGTAGCTGGCGAACAAAACGGCCGAATTCGATCGGACGTTTCGTTTATTATTTGTCGTATCGGACGAAAAACCAGTTTTAATTGTCGAAAGAAAGAGAATCGAAAACTGCTAGGAAGCAGCTGCATATTTTTCAACAGAAAGACAAAGATTGCGGGTCTTCCCACGCCTGGATTTCGAATTCTTACAAGTTGGCGTGAGGAAAGATATTAACCGACAGGTTGGCTCAAGACAACAAAAACTGATTCATTTCGAGTGTTGAGGACTTTCAAGGTTGTGGATTTTTCACGAAATGCACTGCTCACTTGCATTGAAACATTCTACAGACCGACAGGAGTAGCTAGAGACGCGAAACTGTAGTGCGCAATATTTCAAATCTCGCTTTATGGTTAAATAATTTACCGTATTTACCACTATCTTCAATTCGTTTAATTTTAAATTCGCCTTTGAATTGAATCGTCCTAGCAGCGCTTTATTTAATTGAACTTCATTTGTATTTGCTATATTAACTTACAACGAACGTGTCAACATTGTCGCACATCATACGTTCATAAATCAAATATTCTTTAAAGCGCTGAGTGTAGATTTGTATGTATTTATTAAGTAAGTGGACCGGTAGTTCGTTTGGTAGCAAATGGTCAATTTGTACATGAAAAGCACGTGTTTAAAGTACAGAGGCGAAAGTGTTAATGCTAATTACTCAACGCAATATTCTGCTTTACACCTGTACATATTGTAATAATTCTATTTAAAATATTTAAAAAATGATGTGAGGTAATATGACGTACCTTATCAAATTTCCTTCACGTTGGTTTTTAAACGTCAAGTCTGAACTTATCTCTACATAGCAGGAAATAACACTGAATTGAAGCCTTTTCATAGATGATTTTCCGATTTTCTCGGTTTCCTTCGTCACATGACCTGTCACGTTTTATGGATTTTAAAGGATTATATCAAAAACCTACTATTTTCCGAGATGTTACGATAACTATAGCTTTTTTCTGAAGAAAATTACACTCTGACAACAAATTAATTTTCAAAACAATAATTTTCAATATTTCATTTTCTTCTTAAATCTATTTTCGTATAACAAAGAGTATAATTTTTTTATCATTTTTTTATTTTGTCATAATAGGCTTATTTATTGAAATGAACGCAAAACAATGCGTTTGTATACGTTCAACTGAAAAGTGTAAGAAGGGGGTTTATTGACCTTATGTGTGCATATGAAAACACCATGAAATAAATTAACTACAATCGCAGAGAGACCTATATGTCAAAATAGTTTTAATTTCTTCCTTTCGTCGTAATTAATCAATTTTGAGCAGGTCAGTATCGGCCCGTTATATTTTAAATCGGCAACAAGTCCTGCATAATTAGCAGATAAAATGTTTCAAAAATAATAGACAATAATCGAACGTTTTAAAAGGATCGTTGAAAGTTTTAACTGTTTCGAAAATTGTTTTAATGGTTTTTTAATACAAATTAACAAGGTGTAATTAATTGCTCACTAAAATCTCGTTCACCCGAATTACGATCATGTAGAAAGTATATTTTCATTTAAATTCATTTTTTATGACCCCGAACATTTACTTTTGACCCAAGGCGTAAATTTCCTTTCTTTAATGGATGTTTTAATTTTTCTACATTTTTTCCTAGTCCTGTCGTTGAGTTGAATGTCCTTTTTACTGCATTCTAATTGCACAGTAGCGGACTGGCTCCAGTAAAATACTCTAATTATTATGGAAAAAATGGAACCCAAACATGTAACACTGGCGTCGTTAAAACAAAAAGTACAATAAATAATATTAGCTCTTTGTTAATTTTCGCTTAAATTCTGTATAATAGTTAAGAGACTTTTTAAATGAGTTGAAATGAGTTTTTTGTGAAAAAACGTGTTTCGTAACTAGACATTATTGATAATAATATTCAGGAGCAAAAAATATGTTATTAAAATTCACGTGTTCTTAAAAACCTTTGCTACATGTGCATGTGTATAATTATGGCTTCTGTTGGCTAATTTACTAAACTCGTTTTTACACCTTTTAAAATAAATTGAAACAAATAACTTGTACATTTTAAATTATAAATATGGAGAAAATTATGGGAAGAAAATTGTATGAGAATAAAAAATGCTTCAGTTGTTAATTATTTTTCATTAATCTTTTTGCAAAAAAGCTTTAAATTACTATACATACATGTATAAATGTTACTGTTTGTATTTGTAAAAATTTTTAATTAAAGCATTCAATAAAATGTTAACTCTTTAAAAGTTGAGCAGGCACATCGGGATCTGCAAAACAAATTAAAATATTAATCCAAAAGAAGATGCACGTATATAATTATTTATTCCATTTCGTAAGTGAATCCCAAAATGGTAAACCCAACAATTTTTTCGGTTATCCGAAAAAATCGATTTCTGATCGATTTCCTTCGAATTATGACACACATAATTAAGAAATTTACTTACACAGACAGTCGTCATCAATTTGTTCTCCTAATATTCTAAACTTGAAATCTTGGTATTTGTTGGCCAACGTAGATTGGTAAATGAGTTGAATTAATCCGTTGTTTTCTTCAAAACTCACAGATACTATAATGATAGAAATACATAAATTAGCATTTTAATTTTTAATTCATCAGTAAAAGCTTATATGAAGTAGTAGGTAGTTCAGAAATTGAAAGGAACTAATTTTATGTTCTATCGATTGATATTGAGTGTTTGAAATACCAAGTAAATTGAAAAATCGCTGAAAAACTATTAATTTAATAAAAAGTTTAATGTTGTAAAAATGTGATATAGTAATAAACTTGTATTAAATTTAGAAAGCTTCTCTCTACCGCCATCTCTGATGATTTACTAGCAGTACTAAAGTCGCTATTAATTCAGTAAATAGGATTCTTCGTTTAGATAGAAGAAGTTCACTTATTAGTATTGTAGATGGCATTTAATTCTTATTTACATATTTTTCTTTGCATTTTTAAAATAAATTAAAAAGTATTCAATATAACTTACTTTTTCTACCAGTTAACCTTCCACAAATAGGCATATTATTCACTAACAATGACTCTGCACCGCAGAATAGATCGAATTGTTCCAAATAAAGGTTTATTTTGCAAACGTCCTAAAAAGAAAAATTACTAAAAATATTTTTTTTACTTAAATTTTCAAGCTTATAATGTAACACCTTTAAATTTGTTCAAATTATTACCTTTGCCATCCTTCTAATTTGGAATACGCATCTTTCTGCATCGACTGTTACTTCTAGCACAAAAGTTTTATCATCGACAAATCTGTCACATACAACAGGAGTTGGCCTTATAGTGGTCGTTGGAAAATCCGGAGGATCGGTTGGGATTATTCTACAAGGAATTTGTTCGAACAATCCAAAGAAACCTCTACCACAGAAGAATTGGTCAGTTACAAATTTAACATCGACGAAATTCCTGTATGTTAAATCGAATGAAACTAGAAAAAACGAAACGTTTTACTCTAAAAACTTCTTACAAAAACAACTCACTTTAGATTATAACTAATTTTCTGTGTAATCAATTTTAAAAATAGTACGTACCGTGTTTTTTACAAAGGCCTTTGCCGCAATATCTACTTCTGTTATCCAACAGAACAAAATCTTTACTGCATCCGTAACTATTTTCTATTTGAAAATCGGCGAATAATATTCGAACTCCGCAATATCCTGTTTGTTTTACAAATCTGTAAATAGAGGAGAAGTCGGTTTGTGTGCGTTCGGGTCAAATTCACGAGAAAATGATCCCGCAAATATTGATTTGAATCGAGAAAATTTACCTATAACAAACATTGAGGTTTTTCGGATAAAAAAATGGGTAACCGGGGCTTTTGAAATATCCTTTCAAATAGTCCAATTCGAGGCAATTACTGTTCTCTATTCTAGTGTTTTCTTCTACTCTTCTGCAAGTTTCTAAATTCCGGTAAAGTAACCCGTTTATTTGCTGGTTATTCCAATTTATGCATTCATACGAGTTCAAATTAGTAACTATTGAATTAATAGTAGATGTATCTATAAATGTCGCAGGCTCACTTTCCTTAGGTTCTAGAGGTAATCCGCTATCATTCGGTTCTGAGAAGTAATAATATGTTTTTATTGATCCCGGAAAACCTATAAACTTCGAACTTTTATCGCCTAAAATTTCCGTTCTCTGATGAATCAACTGGGCTCGTTCAATTTCAACATTTAATCGATCATCGAAATATTTACTGGAAACGTTCAAATTCCTATTACCAGCTGGATAGTACTTCTTTGGGCACTCGTCTTGGATGGCTTCGATTACGAAACCTGTATAACTGCTTGAAACCGTCCCTTCGGATTTAAAAATTAAATTTTTGAAACCGTCTTTTTCGAAAATTGTAGTCAGCTTTAACTCTTTGTTACAACCGCAGATTAGTTTATTGTCTATACTGAGGTACCCGCTTGGACAATTATTATAAGTACTCGAACCTGAAATATTTGTAAATTATTATAACTTGAATTAAATTTCTATGATTCTTATAGAATTCACGAATTAGAATTTAATATAATGAATCAATAAATACCTACAATGAGACAGAAATAACTGTAGCAAAAGGTATAAAATATTGTAGCGCATGCACACATGTTTCTAGCTATTTCTTTCGCACTGTACCTTAATAAAACACCTAATTAATTTCATACCTAATTAATATCTTACCTAAATAAAAATATAAAAAATTTAATCTCAATCTGCAGATGTTTTGATTAGATTTTTGAATCCTAATGACGCATTCATGTTTTGTACTAATACTGCGAGGAAAACCGGGACTCGTTATTAAAAACCTTCGGGAATTGTAGGTGTTTAGGCAGCATTGAGGCAAAATTGATCCGATTTTTGGCTGGATAGGTAGGTGTAATGAACGAAAAGGTAAAGTCGAGTATTGAGGTTCCAATGTAGTGGGTGTTTCAAACTAAAATAGGACCATTACCTACTCATATCCTATTAATTTATGAATTATATAAAGTACTTACAGTATTGATAGTTTCAGTAGTAGTAGTTTGATAATCACAGTCTGTTGAATTGACACATGATTCCGCCGATATTCCTTTTCTGTAGAGGAAATTTAATAATATGAAGGATATTACCGGAGAAATAATCATCTTTTCTTTCATGCTTGCGAAAATTAACTGATCTGTTTTATCTGATTTGGTGTTATTTGTAGGAGAAGAATTTTAAAACAAATAAAGGTTTGGTGAAATAGGCGCGTTTGTGGTTGAAGAATTTCCAATGAGAAACACATATTATACCGACTGTAAATATTTATAAGGGGTCCATTAAAATAGTTTTTTGATGTTAAGTTCACTTCTCATATATTTTATTTGTACATTATTTAATTTCATCCAATTTGTAGAGAAAAAATAATAATAGAAATTTGTTTATGAATTGATTATGTTTTATTCTTTGCTTAGTACAGTTTATTATTAATGTTATTAATTAATTAAGGGTTTTTAATTTGAACAATTACATGAATGGGTACATAAAAATTATACTTAGTAACTACACGCAATTTATATACATGGTTTCTCAAATTGAATACATGTACAGAGTATTTCAAATGAGTGTAATAATATTTTTTAGTTGACAAATTGTCGAAAGATCTATTTAGATTTTCCCCAATCAATTGACAGTATCAATCTCATCAATTTGTACTGATGAAAATAATATATTATAATTTATTAACAGAGAATATTTCTTTCAGAAACCGAACGGCTGCAGAAACTTTACAATAAATCTTTACTCAGTTAACCCCTCATGGTTAAACTCAATTAAAAACGAAATTATTCTGTTATTAATCATTCAGTTAAATAGTTCTAATAATACTGAAATAAATATGCATCACATGTTGCAAGTGCCTATATGTATCTTGGGCAATTGATTTATTGATACCTACATTTTCTTAACAATTACAAAGACGAATAAGGATTTATCTCCCACTGAAATGCATGTTAGTCAGAATCGTGTGTGCAGGTCGTTTTCTATTGCAAAAATCCACCGAAGGGCTCTTGTAACCCGAATAACGAGTATTATGCAGGGCCATTATCAGATTGTGAATTTCATATTTCGACGGGTAGCAGATGAACGGATTCTCCGGATTGTATCTGCAAAAGAAAATTGTGATCATTTTACTAATTTTTCATTCAACTAAATAACAACAGAGATTAGTCATTCATTCTGATTGTCTAAAATTTAATTTACATCATCCATTTTTTTTCGGTAAGGAAAAATTGTAATTACAGTTAAATTAGATAATGTGTTGCAGTAAATTGGATTACAAATTGTGAGGGACAAATGATATTAGCTGTATTACATTATCAAATTAATTCGGCCAATTTTCTTGCACTAAAAAAATTATAGGGCGAAATGAGAACAGAGTAGGTAAAGGAAAGGCGGTAAAACTGGCATAGGAACGAAAACCGATGTATACATATTATGATGTGCTGTAGCTGGAATTAAAATACTGTAACTGTGATTCCCCTAGGTATAGCTACATATTATGTATTATAGTAAAAAGACGTGGTTAGTTTTTTTGCGTTTTTTGCGTTGTGGTTTTTTTAATTCATATTTTAAGTCGATCTAGGTATATGTGCTGCAAGAAACTATCTTCGAACACGCTCCAGATATGAAAACAAAAATATAGACTTACTGAACAATTTTGATCCACCCCTGTACACAAATCTCTATATGGATTTATGTTGAAGAACATCACTTGTTAAAACTAACTCTATTATAATATTCAGAAAATTTTCATTCAAAATATTTAATTTAATTAATGCATTACTATAATATGTCTCTACGTAGTTTTTATGCAATTGCCTAAACTTTTATTTTTAAAGACACCTACGAAGCCATTATAGTTCATGTAGGGAAGCTCCCACAGGTATTTTAATATAAGCGAAATAATATAGCTGAGTCGTATATCAGTAACTATAAAAGTAAAAAAATGTGGGTGTTTGATGCCCGTTTGCGTTGCATCACTTACCTACAAGCTTGCGTCTGGCAAATGTCAAATTCGCTCTTGCCTCTAGGAACGAATCTGCAAAAGAAACGGGAAAGAACAAAGTAAAAACAAAAGGTTTTCCTTTTCAGTTTCACACTTTTTATTCTAGCTAGTTCTCGTTACCGCTCTTTGAACTAAACCGTTCACATTAACTGGCTCTGTGACGGAACTCCTTTGATGAATTTAGAATTTCGAATTTAAAACGAAAATTGACTAATCAGCCGGTTTTTAATTAAACCAGCGCAACCCTTCCGACTTTAAATGGTTTTCAGCCATAAATTCGTTCATTTGAAGAGTGGAATTAAGAAGACTTAATTGGAAAATTAAGTAACCCACCAAGATTTTCTTAAATCACCAGAACGAATTTTAACAACCTATATTTTAACCAAAATTGAGATTGCAGCCAGCAAATTTAAGAGAAATGTATCGTTAACTAAATCCACGTACCCAGAATTTTCTCTCTTCCACGGGTACTTCCTGTAGTATCTCATTCTCTTGGATGGAACAGGACCTATTTCATTGTCGCCAATCGATTCTTCTTCTTCTTCAACATCATCATTCGCTTCATTGATAAAGTACGGCGGAGTCTTGGGAGTTTCGATGTACATAATGGGACTCTGTCCATTAGGCCACGGTAGCACTAGAAGTGTACTCAACGCTCTAATTGTATCATCAATACCTTCGTCCTTTAATCGTTTCGAATAAGGAGCGTCTAGAATAGAAAATTATGTCCGAAATGTCTGGTATAACTTAATTGGATAATGCAGCATTTGTGTTGGTGTTTGGGATTAACCCCTGTTATCTCGAACAAGGAATGTAACGAATATTCCATTGTTCAGGGACTTACAGTTTAATTGCTTCCTATTGTTGGTTGGTTCTAATTAAAGTTACATTATTTTTTATTGTATAAAAGTTCTATTTAATTTAAAGTTCAACTTCTTGTGAACAATATTTATTTTTCAAACGAACACTAATTTTCTTATACTCCAATTCCTTTTTAAATCCTTTAATCTATTCTGCCCGTTCTAGGTGCATCGGTATGTACCTCACGCTTGGAAATAAACCTATACCATTATTCTATAATTCCGGCTAGTTTTTTTGTATCCATTTATTGATATATTCTGTATAAAAGGTATTGAAATTCTAATTGCAATGCTTACCTTTGTAAGAATTAGCATCCAAATACGTCGAATCTTGGATGTCGTTTCCAGGTTGGTTGGGCGTTAGTCGGAAGCAGGTCGCTAATCTCGTATAGCAACTGAACGCCAGGAGAGTTACAAACTGTGTCGATGTCGTCAATTTCATTGTCCGGCACCTGTGCCGGAATAAACTCGATTAGACATCTATCTAAATTAAGTTTCAACGAATGCGGAATGACCGGTTAAGGACGTGTATGCAATATAGTAGGGTGAATTACTGGACAGGGTAAAGTATTAGGTCCTTTTGGGAGAATTCTGGGGGTAGGGTAGGGTAGGGTAGGGTAGTGGGTATATAATTTGATCACTCCTACGTGCCAGTAGCAACATGTACATTTGACATTCAACATGTATGTTTTTATACAGGTAAATATTTATAACGAATTGTATTTGCAACAGAGGGATAAGTGATATGTACCATGTAAGTATTAAGATAATCTTTAAGGATTACTTAGCAAGAAAATCATGGCAGAAGGGAATGTTTGCTTTCATCTTTATAATCTATTAACAAAACATTGTGGAATCGCTTACTTTCCACAATGGATATTTTATCGTATTATAATGAATATTAAAATATTCAAGTGCTTTAAAAACATAGGTAAATTTAAAACCAACCTCGTCTGCTATTTAATCTTTATGGTAACTTCTAGCCAGTTAAGTTTAAAAATGATTTTCCCATTTTTTAGTTTTATTAATCTAATAGGTATTTTATAAGTAGGATTTTCAAAATGTCAGAGTTCCATAATAAATGTATTCTCCGGATTTTATTGTGTAGGTTGGAACATGTTTATTTCTTATAACATACCTATTAAATAACAAAATAAATCCCGCTTAGGAAATTTACGAAATTGATTGAAGCTATTCAAGCCTGCTTCCTATCGAGTTTGAGAATTTTTTATGCCTTTCATTCCCACAATCGAAACCGAAATTGGATGATTTCTGAATATGACATTTTTCGTTAAATATCAACTTTTAACGGGAATATTATGTTATTAGAGTTCATTTATTATCAACAAGAAATAATTCTGCAATGAGAAAATTATATCATATATTTACGTGCTCAGAGTTTATTCATGCTCAAGTAATAATTAAATGTAATAGTCTAATGAAAATAATTTTTTATGTTGTGCATAAATGTGGAATACAAACTGCAAACATAAAACTAGTTGAAAATGTTTTCCGACGCGAATTTAGTAAATTAAAAATTTCAAACTAATGGAATCATTTGGCGTTTAATATTTAAAGTCCTATTTTTGTGTTTCATTAGATATACATTTTCGGTCTATTGATCTAGTCTAGCATACAAAAATACATCAGTAAATTGCATAAGCGTGGGTTATATCATTATAAATATATTTAGACTGTTAAGTTATCTAATTAATTACAACTTTATCAATTGCTAACAAAAATTATCTTAATTTATTAACAAAAAGTTGACAGAATTTGGGTAGCATATTTTTACCAAAATTACTGAAAATATGGTTAATATTATACAATTAATAAAGTCATAAACTAATTAAATTCTACTATTTAAATTAACAATTAACTTCTACTCACTAAGGTGAATTTCATTCAACTCCCTATAGGAAACTCACTTTCTTCTACAATTCACAAAAAGAACCGATATTTTGCGACGTTTCGGATACGAATGGGACGCCCGTTTAACCCTGGCAGAGTTTAACGCAAAGACGTCGAGTTTCGCGCCCTCCTTTTATATATACCAAACAAATTCGAAACGGAGCGATGCGCAACTCCGGTGTGGGAGTTTGAAAGTTGCTGAAAATGCCACAAGTGGATCCGGCGAATGCGAGCAACAAGTTTTCATCCAGATTAAAACGACCGCATCCCCCTGGATTTGGCTCGTGAACGAACTCCGTTCCGGAATATTCACCGGGATGCACAGGCATATAAATATTAGTCTTCGACGATGCTTCCACGTGCCATGCAAGCTGTTTAAAATGTTACCTTGATAGAGCTTGTAGGTTTTGTATATGTTTATAATTTCCTCTAACTGCGTGTATTGTATTGGCAGCAAGTTTAATTAATAAATTTGGCTGCAAAATTGAGTGCTTATGAAGTCGTAAAAGTTGATGTAGTATAAGTAATAGTATAAATTCATTTCCACAAATGGTGCACATATACGCAATAGTAATAATCGTTACCTAAATAAGCTTCGTTATTGGAATTAATATTTCGATAGAATGGTTAGCATTTCCGGGAAACTCGACCATTTGTATTGGCGTGATATGCGTTTCTAAATTGGACGAATTGAAAACTAGTAATTTGCTTTCATGTTCTCAAGACGCAGTTAGCTTCGTGTAATTAATTGCTTTTATAATACAGACGAAGCGGTTGAAGCTGCCATCTGTAAACCGAGTTCATTTTCGGTACATTGATAGTTTGTGTTAATTTGACGCTCAATAGAAGTTCTTTGAAACGATTGATGTGGGAATATTTAATGTGTAGATACATAATTAGATCATATAGTAAATTGTGTAATTGAGTATGATATACCATCACCAAGGAATTCTTTTTGCATCAACCAAATTTAATCCCAGGTAACCATTATGCCAGTTGAATTGAGGAACATCAATTTTTGACATAAATTTCGTATATGTCATTTTATTTCGTTTTTGAAAAATGTTTGTTTATTTTTACTGTGAATCATATCTATCTGGGGGCAGTTTTTCCTTTTACTTTTGAGACTCTTCTTTAGGTAGATACAGATTTGTAACTTTTTTACACATCTTTCCTTCGGCAATGAGTTATGTTTCTGATATTTTACAAAACTCCAAATACCATCGATCTTTGTACGAGTAAAAAGGACTGCTATAATTAGTTAACATGTTAAATTTAATCAATTTCTCATTTATATTTGTATGAAGCACCAGAGAGTTAATTTTCAAAATTAATTAGCACTTGCTTATGTGCTAATTTGATATTAGAGTGAATGCATTGCTACAACTTTGCGTAACTCACATCGAATTTAATTAGATTTTAAACGAAGCAAAAGTTAGTATACTACATACTTAACAATTAAAATAACACTCTGCAGTTTGAATGTTTGAAGTATCCTATATTTGAAATTGAAAAATAAATTTTCCTAATCAGCTTCTGTTTTAGCTATATAAGTTCAACAACCGCTTGTTTTCCTTTATCTCCCTTTGCACGTTCCGATGTCTTTCACCTCCATTATAAGGGCACAGAAACTTCGATTTTTCATAAAAATAATTCGTATTCCGAGCACTAAAATCATTCAAACACGCATCCCGCGCAATCGACATTTTAAGATTTTCTCAAGCTAGTGTTTCATGATCTCAGAAGCAAATTGGATTCGTTTTACATCAGCATACACCGTTTTGTTGGATAGGTGGTGTAATTTAACCACGTATTACCCTTTACCTTAAATTAAATAAAATACCAAAAACTTACATCAGCAATATGTAAAGTTATCAGTAAAAGTACCGTTATACTTGATGAAAAAAAGCTTTCAGTTAATTGTTATCTGCACTGTTATTTTCTTCCAAATACCCCATAATTGCTGTGCGATTTTTAGATTACACGGAAGTAATTTAATCCTACTAATTTTAATGACACTTCATCACGTAATGGGCGGAATTCGCTAGGGAAATTCCTTTCAAATAAATGGCTCTATTATCCCAAGATGTTTTTTATTAAAACCACTGACCAACTATTTTTAAGAGAATGTGTTCATAACAGGTGATTCTTAAAATGCTTTAAGAATTCGTCTTCTGCATATTTAGAAATATAATAACAAAAAATTATTATATATAAGGCATATTTTTAGCCTTTCACTATCCTTAGTGTCTCCATTTGTCTCTTGTTGGAAGCAGATTGGTTCTTCATTCAAAATGAGAAATAAGCATTTCTTCATGTATTCGGTACTTGTGTTGGCACTATTTATCGGCGTGTAAAATGTGGTGAGTAAAAATATATTGGGTGTGCAATAAAAAAACTTACTCGTAAATGATCTAAACATTACAATACATTTTAGAGCCGAGAAACATCAACAAAAAGTTCAAATGAAGATCTTAAAATTTGAACCAAAATAATTATACAAGAAGCAATTTTGATTCCTTCAAGTACGTAAAATTCGTGATTAAGGATTTAATAATAAAATTTACTTAACAATATTTTTTAGGTTAAGAACATGTGGCAAGACACTGGATAGTTTTTTAATAATCTGCTACAAACATATCAATTATTCGAATTTTAATATTTAAGTGATTTATTTATAGGTACACATGTAATAAAAATGGAATAATAAAGTCTTCTATAAACTTAATTACCTTATGAGTAAAACCTAACATTGTTTCAAATTTCCAGATAAAAAGTACATTTTGAGTAATTGCTTCAGGTTCTCTAGGTGCGTTCAAACTGCGAAAATAGTGATCTTTTATTTCAATAAAAATAAATAATCTTAGGGCCCCCATTCACGTTGAGATCGGTATCGATACATGTCGCAAGTATCAGTATCCCGATACACACCGCATGCGACTGAGACTTTATATACAACATTTTTTGATTTTTCTTCTGTATTCCGCTACTTACAATTATAATTTAACTGGTGTTTCATAAGCCTATCTAAACGTGTAGGAGCACTTATGATATAGATACAAATCACAGATACATGTATTGCCGTTTGTCGCGATTTCAACGTGAATAAGACCCTTTAGAGTAATTCATTAGATGGATTGTTATTTTTGAAACAGTGAACCGTGATAAACTCGATACATGTAACTTGGAAAATGGTCACAAACTATACCAATATATCGATGGAATAATTTGAACAGTTGGACCTAGAAATATTGGGTCTATAAAGACTACAGCATTTTAAATAATCGACTATTATGTTATACTACTGTTCAACCAATATTTTTTTGTCATAATAGAATTTGTTCGGTATGGCCGAGTGATTATATTTTATTAAAAAAAAGAGTTCTACCTAACTGGATTTCTTATGGGAAATCAACGGTTTACTGTTTTATCTTTTACTGACGGGAGTATGTAGTTTAATATTTTTATTATTTATTGAACAACTTTAAGAAAAAATAAGAAATACCTACTTACAAAAGTTTTTTACAGTCTTCCAAATTATTTAAGGTAAATTTTAAATTTTAAATAGACAAAAGCGCAAAATTTCATAAATTAGTTTAACTACAATTGCAAGTAAATATAGGTCAATGGAATTAACCTATTTTGTGTCGTTCATTCAAATACGACCGATAGATAGGTGGCAAAATCGATAAATGCAATAGTAATACGAAAGTTTAAAGAGTGAAAACTTTAAAATTAAATGAAAAGTTTGTTATCTTCCTAATAAAATGCCGTTTTAAACTAATTTCTTTATTAACAACCGACAGGAAATCATACAAAATGTTTGTTTAAAATATACTATTAGTACTTAAATTCGAAAAACCACTCGACATTAGCTAAAGTGATATGGTAAATTGTTGCACATTGAACCTCATTAACTACAATGAAAATTTAACAAGTGTTACACCAAATACAATAAAGATAATGTAACTGTACTTTTTTAAATTTATCGTAAGTTTCACTATTGAAATACTTATTTCTACGGAGCCGGCTCAGCCGTCAAGAATTTATCCGAACCGGCGTCTTCATAGAATTTCTGCGTATTTTCATCGACCAGCTTTAGTGTTCCTATAATTTTATTCGCCAGGAAGTACATTCGTTCAACGCTCTGAAAGAACAAAAATTAATTCGGATTAAATTATCAATTAGATGTCTATAATGCCTATTTGTATGTAATATTTTAATATTGGATTTAAAATGCCTTAAAAGCAAATGTTACAAGGAGTAACGAATTAAAGGAAAATAATTGAATTCGGAGAGATTTATAGCGACTATATGTTCAGCAATGATATTAATTTTCAGGTTTAATCAATGGGAAAATGATACGATTTGTGTTCTGTTATTGCATGTACCTGAAAATACCTTATTTATTACCCACTAATTAGAATTCTATTGATTTCAATATGTCCTATTCTGCCAAGAATTTAAGACATATTATGTTACCTCGCATTGAAGGAACTCCTTAACAGCGGCATCGACGTACACCAATTTATCGTATTCGTCGTGAGTCATGGAATATTTCAGCTCGTCATCTTCGGTGTATGTTTGGAACTTCTCGACGCCCAGGCACAGTTTCTCACCAGGACCTCTGAACACGTGCCCATCTCCAATCTTCAATCCGGTATCGATATCCGGAGTATCATCGTAGTAGAGGAACGTTGGAATAGTCACCTTCGGTATCTTGATCTAAAGAAAGTAAAATTAATGAATAATTTGCAATAAATAAGTAGAAGTGCTGGATTGACTGGTCTAATTATGATATCTACTATAATATTAAGTACCTACTACAATTCTGTGGATGAATTATAATAAAGAGTTTGGGGAGTGATAATGTTGTATGACTTACCTGAGCTCTTCTGGCTGCGATTAATTTTGCGCATAATTTATCAATCAACATTACAGGATGGTTGGCCATTTGCTTAGGAGCCGCTGAAATCGGTATTATTTCCTTAAGGACCAGGTCTTTCAGCCGTTCCAATTCGCCGAACTACAAAAAAAGTTGTTATAAGTTAGATTTTTTGGTTTAGAATTAAAAGAGAAATTTGACCTCTCTATCCTGGCATCTCTTGTCCATTTTGTGGGCATAGTCCTCCAGTAGACGTTCCTGGAAGTTCAGCATAAACTGCCTGTCCGTCAGGTTTGTAATTTGCGTTCCCATTAGCCTTTCTAGACGAAGTCGAATGACGGGATGATAGAATCTGAAATGAAAAATTAATAGAATTAATATGTTTCAACAATAACTTTCGAAAGAAGTAACTAAAACATGTTTTATTTATTGCTGTAGAGTATAAAAATACCGAACTTCCGTAGGATTAATCTACATTTCAGATAATTTTAGTATTATAGATTTAAAATATAAAGTATAGAATATTGTTGAATAAAGGTGAGGATTCTGAACACAAAAGCAGGAAAAGCCCAAAATACTATAAAAGTGAAACGTGGCTCCTGCGAGATGTGACATTAATTCTTATATAGGATAAACATAGCTCAGAAGTTTTTTCCTCGACACATTTTTGCTTTCTGTGTTGATTCGTCATGGAATCAATTTTCTTGCAGGAGAAAATATCAGCAGGCCTAACTTTTAATGAAACTACAATATACGCATTCAAAAACCAATACAAAGTAATATTCTTTCTATCTTAACGGCGCCAAATCAAATACAGGAAATATGACTTTTGATTGGAAAAACTTCGCAATTTCTGGAAAGCTTACGTTTCGAATGAAAAATTTCATCGCCTTAATGCCCATAAAGTGCCATTCGGATTTTAATGTCAAATCGAAGATTCTACTCCCAACAGTTGTATAACATCAGGATCCGTTTGTATAGTTTATGCAATATATTACAATACTTGACAATCTTATAAATTTTTTGTTTGATCCACCACACATTTCATAATAACTTGTATTACCGTTTCCTATGTATTGTTATATTTTATAATATGATCATTATATAATAAATATACTATTTAATGGCAAATTTCATAAAAAAGACATGAATAAAATGATACATAAAAATGTATTCAAACGAAATGATAACCAGATCGAGCGCGATTCATATGCAAAACTACTCAGAATTCCGGTGCAAAAAATTGGTGCATATAAATTTCTATAGGTGTACATAAGTGCTTTCATATTTGCAAACGCAAACCTGCATGTACCAACTCCGGTATGTAATTTACTCCCGGTGTCGCTTAAGCTTGTCGCAACACGACAACGTGATATTCGAGCGTCCGGAGACACGATAACGAGATGGCTCTAGGCGGGAAAACGGTGAAAAGCGCGTGCGGTCGTGGAGACGTTTTTCCGGAAAATGACAAGTTCTACACGGAGCCATAATAACCGCGAAAGCTGTTCGATTTTCTTGCGAAATCTAACAGAAGCGACGGGCTAAAATTAAACATTGTGGAAATTCGATGCGAGAATAAAACGTAGATTCGTGTCGGGAATGATCATTATTAGAAGTATTGATTTAATACTATCAGTATTGTAAAAAATAATTTTCGAAATGGTGGTTTATGGCCAAAATATAAGCCAGTTTTTATTAATAGCTGGGTTGTTTATCTACCAGAATTTAATATTTAGCACAGCCAGTGGATTGTTTTCTCGGTAGGCGTCAGCAAAGTGCACAGCATCAGGTCTTAATTTATAAATCCCAAACCGAGTAAAGTCATATTTCTGTTTGGGACATGATAAATAGAACTAAATGATAACATAGCGCCCTCCATTCGCGGAATTCCCCGATAATGGGATTTCACCAGTTTAACGCCCACTATCTTGGTGGCGTACGCGTTATTCGACGAAACGATAATCCAGTAGAATTCCGGAAAATTACTACGTACTGATTTTTCACAGTACATTTTGTATTTAACGATGAAACCCTAGCAGAGCATGGAATAATCATATTCATGTAAATATTTGATATCTCTAAACTTGATCGCACCGCCGAATTCTTTGCTCCAGTTATCGATCGAATTCATTTTGCATGGCTGTGCATTTGAATGTTAAATATTGACAAATTTTTTGGGTTTAGTGTTAAATAAATTTCTTCAAAATTTATTGCTAATTTTTATATTAATAGGATATTTAAATGAGAAAGATTAATCTGGGATAATGTTGTATAACCAGACCCTGCGTAGGAATACTTTAGCCTAATTAAGTCCGCATTCATTACAATTAGGTAATTATCTATTGTTAGTTGGTAATTACTTATAATAGTTAAAAATAGCTCATATGTATGTATATCATTCATTATTATGAGAATTAATAAAACCACTTTAAAAGTGAGAAATTATTTCATCCTGGTTTAAAGTTAAGAAAAGAGTTACAATGCTGTAATATTATATACATATGATTAACATCAATTTACCTCGCCCATACAGCCCTTTAATTAATGCGAAAACCAGAAGCTGCTTTGATAGTATAGAAATTTAACGGAGTAATAGTATCATATTATAGTTTGTCTATGTAATAATAGAGTACGCTTATTTACCAGTAATTTGCCAAAAGGGTTTTGTAAGGCTTATTTGAAACAAGGGTTTAATTAAGAATCATTAAAAAATTGAGTAAAGCGTCTACCTTAAAGCTTTTCACATTTTATTTTTTACGAAAATTCAAAACAAATTCACCTGCTTGGACTGTAAATCTTTACAATGTAATTTATTATAACACTTTGTTTATTATGTATACAAAAATAAAGAGAAGCAAATTTTAATTTTCTCTCGTTAAAAATCATAAAAAAACCCAGCTTGGGGTGAAATAATATGGAAGCACACGCCGCATTTTAACGGGCAGGAATCTCGCATAAATTTTCAAAATAACGAGGCACCGGAAACCAGTTCCAAAAATTCGACCCACCGTTCCTGCGCCAATTAACCCAGTTAACAACGCGGATTTTTCCGCAAAATTGTAATTAACAAGACGGAGAAATGAGAAAATGATCGATTAATAAAGGGCCCGCGGTAGTCCCGAAGAAACAATAAATAATGGCACTGTCAGAAGGGACGCGAGGTCGGGTCGTCAAAACGTAGGAAACCGGCGCCCGGTACTAGTAGTCACGGTGAAAGGCATCCGGCGCCTTCAGGCGACGTCGACGGCGTCACGACAGCCACCCTTTTGTCAACGTGATACCTAAGTATCGTTAGACGCTTATTTTCTAATTTCAAGTTTGAATCTAGATACTCGTGAGTCGCGAGTATGATTTGATGAGCGTCAAAATATGTAATAAGTTTTTATTTAGAAGTTTGTTTGGAAGTTATCATCAACATTTTTGATAATACTTATTGTTACTCTATATTGGTTAGAAATGTAAAAAAAGGTTGTTCGAATTATGAAAGTACAATTTAATATGTCTAACAATCATATGTCTTAACATGTCTAACAATATAATTATTTTCAAAAACATTTTAATTAAGGAATTACCATTTGTATATAGTTAAAAGGTATATAATTTTTTTTAAATGTAAAAAATGTATCCTATAATGGGATAATAGAGATTCATGATGATATGCGATAGTATCCCAATATTAGGAGTCAGGAGTTACAAATTATGTTATTTTACTTATTTAATTAAATTATCTGACATTGCTGTAAATAACAGCTCATATACATATAGAGTGTTGATTAATTGAATGCCGATATACTTTAGGATGTGAACATTTGCATGATTTTACGAAGAAAAGTTTATATCAATGTATGTCCTCAACCTATTAGTTTTCGAGCTACAGGCTGTTAAAATTTTAGGAAAAATAACTTTTCTATCATATTAGTTTTCTTATTACTCCAGATGTATTGGCCAAATTCCAGATATGTCCTATTAGGCACCCATGCCAAAATCTCGACTTTCCTTTTTATGTGTATAAAAAAGTTTGTTAAAATTATAGAGTGCAAAAATTCGTTAATAATCGCTAAAGGACGTGCTAAGAACAGTCATAAACTTGCGGAATTTTCTCTAATAAATTCAAAATCCCTCCTAAAAGTTTTTAAAAATATTATCAGATTAACTTAGGTCTTTCCTTATAAAATCATCACTGGAATATTCGCTTATTAAATTAACAAAAACCACCTACTTGCATTCGATTTTCGGTAAATTCAAACTCTCCTTAAACTTGATAATCTCCTCATCACTGATGGTGATATTAATCTCTTCGTCTACATCGGACATTCTCCTTGTCCACGCGGACTTTTTCTTATCGTCTTCAACACGAACTTCGTCCACTCTCTTCGGTATGACCTTTTCAACCCAATCATGCACGTCATCGTGAACGTTCCTGGTAAATTCCTTGCCCACGAGAATTTTCATTGTGTCCCAAAATCCTTCTCCCATTTAGGTTGTTAATTAATAACTTATCAGCTCGATGACAACGCGAAATTAAGCGGAGTTACAATAGTAACCTATTTGCTAGCCAGAGTGTTGTAGTACTGATTAAGGTGGAGGATAAATAGTGGCATTAGATTCTTACCTACCATAAGCATTTTGAAGTGGGGTGCCAACCCCGTTCTGTAACACCGTGAGTTGTAATTTATCAAACAATTCCATATAGGGTGGATAAAAAAATATTCGAATGCACAAACAAATTGTTGTTTGAAGTTTTCAAAAGTTTAGGTATATTTAAGTTTAGGTATTTATCTCTTTAACTTTAAAATGTGCCTAAGGTGAAACTTGAGCCAGTGTCATATTCTAAGAAATCCTAAATTATTTTTTATTCGGCTACCTTGTAGGCAAAGTACAACGACCCAAATCAATGGGATTTTCGTTTTGCATGTGAAACTCAGCTTTCATAATCAACTGTTTTATACAAAAATGCATTTCAAAATTCAATAGACGTATAACAAGGAGCAATTCTCTTCGAGTCAATATTTCACGCGATGACAGGGTGATTAATCGAAAATTCGCTTAAACGTCTGGCGTTTATTTACCACGAAACGATGAGGGTTGTTGTTCACTTCTTGCATGGAATATTACAAGCATGCGATAAATATTAACCTTCTAATAGTGAGGTATACCAAATGAAAACATTGTGATCTAATTTGGTAGATATAAAGCTCGGTTATTGTCCGTTTAGAGCTTGAACTGAGACACAAAAAATATTTACTAACCAATTTAACTTCCTTTATTACCGGAAAAATAATTATGTTTGTACATAGGTTCAATGATGTATTTCTCTATACTTTATTTCGCCAGTGATAGTTTCTTTAGTGTAAGGCAGGTACTTAACAATTTAAAAAGATGATGAAGTTTAATCGTAAATTTATTGGCGTAATTATTGGTTATTTTAAGAACAAACGGAGCGCCTAACAAAAATGCACCTGAGAATATTATGTAAAATATCGATTTGAGAGAAACAATGAGTAATTAATTCGAACTTTATTAATTTTTCGTTTCCAATAAGCTACTTTTCAGTTAAAAAAAGTTTCATTTAAGGTGAACTTTTAGCGACATCCTAACGAGCTCTTAAAATAGGAAATCGAGTATTGTAACAGTAAATTTCACTCCCACGCGTAAAAGTGAGTTTTCTAAATAGTCGACAACTGGATCGCTCGATTTAAATTAGAAATTTTTTTAAATAAGCGACCGCGATGGCGATTATTATAGCCTTAATGTAACTGTATACCTAAAAATAGAAATAGAACTACTAAAAGGTGAAACGACAGTGAATGTTACGTTTTACCAGGTTTAATTAATTTAAGAATTAATTATTTTGAATAAAATTTACTTACGAGTACTGTACGCTGGGTTTCTCCCACCATGAGTAAGTTACGAAGAAGGGATTCTGCCTCTTAGGTGCCATTTTTGTTGAATATATTCGGGATTTTCTTTACACAACACGAAAATTTAGTATATAAATTTAAATTTTAGAATTTGTATGTATGCACTATGAATTTTTATTGCATGTTCCGAAACAGTCACGGTTGAATTTTGACAATAATTGTCGAAAGAAAACAGATAAAATCCATCAAAAATTTTGAAAACTATTCTTATTTCTTCTATTTTTAACCACATAATAATATTTGATAGAATGGAAAAAAAATGTTGCGGAAAAATTCCTTTATTTAAAATTCATATATCTCTTTCGGCAAGACGAAACAGAACAAGGAAAAAAAAAACAAAAATTTTACGGAAGTAAATCCATAGATTAATTAATTACAAAAATGTAGATACAAAGATTAATATACCTATGTATTTTTTATATTGTTTCTTTGACATTCAACTCCAATAATTGTTGGCTTCTTAATCCTTCCGTTTGTCCTGAAATGATAACATGTAAATATTTAATATATTATTCCTTTATAATTATTATCAGACTCTTTACCACTTATGAATGCTTTCCAATCTGCTTTATTAATAGGATTAGCTGGTTCCCAATTAACAGATTTCAAACTTGATTTTAATCTCTAAAACATATTTCAATATGCTCAAAAGGCATCAATAAATGTAAATGTAAATCACCTCCATCAAGGTTCCTTCTTCAAAAAATAATAATTTGGCCACTATGTAGATTGGTATACACATTAAAGATGCACCGCAAGAGCACCAACCAATAGTTATCATCCAATCCGGATAATTATTGTTATTGTTATATTTTACCCTAGTATTGAACGCAATCGTCATGATAAATATGAACTAAAATAATTATCAAAAAGAGTTCAAAAACGATTTTTGTAAAGGCATCTTTACCAACAAAAAAACTGGTGCAACATATTTCCAAGCTACAATCCAAAACGTTTCTATTTTTTCCTGCAGCATAAATTCTATATCCCGTTTGTATTTCGCTATTCCATATATCCATGAGACTATAAACACCTCTAAAAAGCATACAAGAATTACAGTGATTGCGGCTGCATACCAATCGAATATTTGCAGCCAATATATTCCAGCCTGAAAATTACAAATTATTTCAATAAATCAAAATCAATACCGATTTTCGCGGACTGTTTTTGAAAAATTGAAGCATTCAGTGCAAGCGACACCTATTAACAGGAGCTGGTACTTCAGGAAAATTCGACAAGAAAATTTCTAAACTAGCGTGGAATCTATACTAGTTAAAAGAAAACTAGAGGGTTCAGGAAGCTATGAGCTATGGGTTTAGGACTTACATTTGTAGTGTATAATGTAGATCCGAATATCAAAACAACCACAATAAAGGCGGTGAGGAAATGCTGCTTCTTCCTAAATATTTCAAATTCATCAGATAATCCTGTTACGATTGCTTCAATTTGAACAAACTAAATAAATAAGTAATTAAAATAAGCATCATTTGATGCAAATTGTTAAACAAAATTTACTGACCAAGCTATCGATGGCCAGGAAGAATAACATGAGAAAGAACAAAATAGCCCAAAGGTGTGGTAATGGCAACAAACTAATAGCTTCTGGGTACGTTATGAAGGATAATGCAGGACCACCAGCCACTACAGCTGATACAGGCAATCCAGTTTCGTGTGCCAGAAATCCCAAAACTGAAAAAACCACAAAACCCGCGAAAATACTGCTGCCACAATTAACCACAGGAATAACAAAAGCGTCTCTGGAAAAGCAGAACAAATCATCATATTACATGCTTATGTTATAAATAAACAAATAATTTGTACCTACTCACAATCTTCCATTATTGCGAAAATCATTGTAACTGGCGAGATTGACTAATCCACCCCAACCCGGACCTAGCGTGTAAAATATTTGAATTGCAGCGTCAGACCAAACCTTTAATTTTACACTTTAATTAAACCAATTTTTGTTAATTAATTCAGTTACCTTAACACTAGTTAATCGACTCCATTCGGGGACTATATAAAATTTAATACCGTCCCAAGCTCCCGGCAGGGTTACACCTCGTATGAACAAAATAATGAGAATAACAAAAGGAAACGGGGCCGTGAAATAAACCACTTTTCCTACCGATTTCACCCCTTTAATGATGCAAAGGTACGTTACAATCCAGCAAAATACGTCGGAAAATAACAAAGGCCATACTATTTGTCCAATATCGTCGGGGTTGGGGGAAATTTCTAAAATTCTTCGACTGAAAAATATGCGATTAAATTATTGTAATGAAAATTCGGAAGGAGACTTGCTGAAAGAATTCATCGGCTGGTGTTTTCTTTCCGACGAAAAACGAATTTGTATTGTTAACTCCTCCTATGAAAGTGGTATTTTTTCTGAACTAAAAAAGTTTAGGAGAGAAAAAAATAAAATGTTTTCAACATTTTTCGATTTACCTGTGCACAATCGTTCGTATTCCATGGATTATCGCAATTAGACCATGGTAGTTGTTCCTTAAAACAATACGCTAAAAATATAACTGGATACGCCATTAACATGTTGAAATAGGAGCAGACGATGAAATTAACTACCAAAATTGCATATCCAGCACCTACAATTAATAAAAGGTGCAGCTGTTAAATAATAGGTTTATCAGTAAATAAAATTACCTTTGAATAATGGGCATATCTTGAAAAAAGATATACATCCAACACTTGCGAACTGGCCTAATGATGTTTCGATAAAAAACAACGGTATACCACAAAAAAATAGCATTAATAAGTATGGTATTAGGAACGCCCCTAAAATAAACAGTAAACTGTTGAATAGTTGCTGGTATTATTATTAAAACATTTATTCATGGAAAACGCTAATTTGTTAGCTCCCTTTTTTATCTAAACTGACCTCCGCCGTTACTATAGCACACATAAGGGAATCTCCATACACTTCCAATTCCAATGGAATAACCCAAGCATGACAATAAAAATTCAGTTTTGTTTTTCCACTTCGCTCTTTCTGGTAATTCGTTTTTGCTGTTGGAGGATTTTTCCATATCTCTTTTGGTTTCCATTTCATACATGACCAGAAATATTTATCTATAAAATGATGAATTAGAATTTTAAAACTAGCCAAAAATCAATCCAAAACTGACTTAAGAATAGTGAAGTTTACAAAATTAATACACTTTATTGTTGTCAATAATTATATTTACTACTTACTTTACTACTACTTAATTATCTACTCTTTTATGTTAAAACTAAAGTGCTTTAATGAAGAAAATCGGATCATAATGAAAACATTACTATTACGTAGTAAGTATATAAATAACTAAATACATAGGTACTTACGCTATTTTAGTCTCACTGTGAATTCACGCCTTTTATTACAGCTACAAACCACCGACGCTCGATATATGCCGCTAAATAAGCTTTTATTGTTAAATAACACAATTTAAACCAATTTGCTTATTTCATTCTAACCGAATTAACTCTTCTATAAATCTTATGCGATTACAGAGGGGGCAATGGCAGTGAAATTATTTAAGGGGACTTTAATGCTCGCTTATTAATGTAACATTACTACACGTGGGTTTATAACTACAGCGCACCTCTATATTTTTATATGTTAGAAAACTTTTTTTAAAGTTTATTTTTACTGGGTAAAATAAGAGGTAAAGTAACATTCCGAAAATAAATAGGTAGTGTATCTTGGATGGTTTTGATTAGTTCTAGATTTGAGAAAAGAACCATATTATTCATGGTCTAGGATGCATTTCACAATTGTGGAGTTTTTCCATCCACTCGAATCAACAATAGAAGTACCTGAATGTGCTCGAGAACTTCTTTTTAGGATTTTTAGACGAGCATAACAATGTTCAATGGATTTTCTAGCAAGATAATGCCAGCATCTCTTTTAATAGCAAATCTCTAGCATGATTTCGGGACCAAGAAATTAATTTATTGGAATGGCCAGATTATTCCCCGACATAAATCCTATTGAAAATCTTTGGGGAACCCTAGTCCTAACAGTTTATGGTGATTACAAACAATGCACGACAATTAAAGAACTATGAAATGCATTAAAATTATAAATAAATTGGTGGAACGCATGAATTTGAGACTTTGAATAATTTGAGTTAATAGGAGCTTAAAAGCATTTTCACTCGGTGCAATATTTGTATTTTGGTTAAATGCAATATTGCAGCTAGGCGTCGTCAAAGATTCTTCCATCCATACTCAATAACATTTTAATTTTTAATATTCCGGAGTTTGTCACCTGAATTTGCGGACACCCTGTATATTGCATCGTGTGAAAACGATCTTACTCATTATTAGAGATCCCATTTTTAAATACATTTTTTAAGTTTACGCTTTTGTGTATATATAAATATTACCAAAATACAGTAATTTATTTTTGTATTGCTGGAATATTTAATTTTAATGTAATGTTATGTACTTTTCGCCTATGTGAAAACAACAATTTAAAAAGCAAGTTTCCTTGCATTAGAAAATGTAAGTAATGCTATAGTCACCACCATTCTGGTTCAGGATAAAGTAAATAAACGCGATTTAATAATAAAAATTTAATACTTAATGCCTATTTCGATAACATAAATTGCCTTTTTATTTCAAATACAAGTATTCCTAAAGCTGTTCCTACATTCAGACTGTCGACATCATTACCCAAAGGTATATTTAACCTGGTACCTTTCATTTGGGAAACTAATTTGTACGATTGCTCGCTCACACCTTCCGTTTCTCCCCCGACTATTAACACGTTATGTTCAGCCTGACTAAAATTCGCCGAATAGTACGGAATAACTGGAATAGAGTTAATAACATTCCTCAACACCATTTCATCGTATTTTTCATCTATCGTGTTCAACGAAATAACTCGGTTATCAGCAACGAAAACGTTGCTGTTGGGAGGAATGAAATCGCCGTAGCAATTCCAATCGAATTGCTTTTGAATCCTCAGTTTAAAATGAGCCCCGCAGGCACTTCGAAGCACTTTCGAATCCCATACATTCACGCAACCTTTGGTTAGTAGAATTTCCTTGCAACCGACTCCGTGGCATGTTCGCATTATTGCTCCTAAGTTATCGGCTTCTCTAACATTATCGCAAATTACTGTTAGAGGTATGGAGTCTCTGGCGGGCATGTGGTTTTCTACATCTGGAACTTTAAAAATCCCCATGATTCCAGGGCTTGTTGTTAGATTGGACCACATCTGGATTTCTTTGTAAGGCATTTTGTACAAATTCGCTCCTACTTTAGGTAAGGAAGGTCTCAAATATTCCACTTCTTTAAATCTACTAAATAATATGTATTCGAGTTTGCAATTAGCGTCGAGGGCGTCTTTGATTAATCGTTTGCCTTCGAGTAGGATTAGATCTTTTTTATCTCTTACGTTTTGCGATTTAATTTGAGTGAGTATCGATGTAACTCTTGTGTCCTGGTCTTTCATTTTAGTATAAATAAAATTACCGGCTTCGTCGATAGTAGTCTCGAGCATGTCTAATGTTATTTTCGGCGCCTGACTTCTCTTGGATATCGTGAGTGGTTTGCTATTTCGAGGAAGTAATGGTTTTTCTTGCTCTTGTGGTTTTATTATTGGACCATCTTCTTCTTCGTTGTAATCTTCGCTTGAAATTACTCTAACGGGTTTTCGACTAACCCATCGTGATAGCAAGCGAGTGTTGTTATTTGCGTTTTTAACGTTTTTCGAAAATATAAATAATGTTATTCTATTGAACATGTTGACGAAAGTAGTGTCAAAATAAGTGAGGTTAAATTGTCCCAATGGTTTAGTAACGACTTGTCTGTTTCATTTCTACAGTTAACTGTCAATTAATAAATATAGAAGAATGTAAATGTCACCCAGTGTTGCCAGAAGTACCGGAATTCCGCTATTTGTAGCGGAATTTTATTTTTGTAGCGGCGAACATGTCTAAATATCAGATGTTTGATGCTTGTAATTTATAGTTCTTTTAGGGACATGTAGAGGATTTTTTTAGAATTTGTAGCGGATTTCGTCAATGACGCCATGGCATCACTGTTGTCACCTGTCATAGTTGTCTAAAATCATAGACCTATTAAGTATGGACGCGGTTTAGACAAAGAGGTAGTGTTGTCGATGAATGAGAGAGATGAAGCTAGTTTGGGCATATGGCAATGAGAGATTGGACAATGCATTAGCCAATAGTAAGAAAGCAAAAGACCACGTGAGTTACGTTTTCAGAAATGCAAGGTAGTTGGGGTAGAGGAGGGTAGATTATGGTAGAATAGGGTTGAGGATTTATAATTTTTTTACCGAGCAAAATGCATTTTTCAGCTGAGCCTAAATTCCCACGCATTTGCAAATACAGTTCTTATTTTGTATTGTTAATTGGAACATCCTACCTATTAGCCAGTACAGATTTCGCAATTTAAGACCTAGCTGTTTTCTCTTGTAAAAAATATGTTTCTTCCAGGTCATTCATCTGTCCAAGTGGATACCAAGATAAAAACAATATTTAAATATTAAGCGTATAAATAATTTAACAGATTAATCGCCTTTTTCCACACACCCTGTATATATTTTATATATTTTTTGGTCCCGCCTACATTTAGCCCAAACTAGCTCCATCTCCCACGGACCTCTCTCTCTATCATTGGGAACGCTGAATAACCTCAAAATAACGATTGTGCCGCGTCCATACTTAATAGGTCTATGTCTAAAATAAAATCAATTTTCTAACCTAATTTTAATCGTAAACAAGTTTATAAACAAATAATTGTAAACAAAATTATGAATACGAAACTGCTATTAGATTTATCACTTTCTGATTTTGATTATGTGTGTCGTTTATGCTTAGCGAAAGAAGATTTAAAGCCAATTGGATCAAAAATTAACGAATTTTTAAAAAATTCATTGAATATTGAGGTATGTTGTAGAATTTGAAAAATATAGCCTGTACAATTTTATATTCGTAGGTTAATTTATACGATAATATGCCAATGAATGTATGTTTAAATTGTGAATTGCAAATTGAGCAAATCGAAGAGTTTACGAACTTCTCGAAATTGGTCGATTCCCATTTAAAACATCTATTGTCAGTGAAAGAGGAACAATCTTGCGATATTGTTGAGTCAGAAGAAGAAAACGAATCCAAAAAAGGCTGCGAAAGAGGAAATATAAACGATGAATGTACGAATTGTGAATGCTGCCCGGAATTATTTACATCTTCAGGCAATTCACCTAATCATAATAAAAATAACACTTCTTGTAAAAAAAAGAAATTTAGATGTATCCACTGTGATGAATATTTCGGATTTCATTATGAAATGAAGGCCCATATCAAAACACAACATCCCTGTAAAGAGCTGTATGAATGTAAAATTTGCAACAAAAGATTCAAATTTTCTCAAAATCTTCTAAGACACCACAGGGCTATTCACCAGGGAATAAAACCTTATAAATGCGAAGTATGCAATAAAGGTAATAAATTATACAAATGAATTTATCGAGTACATAAATTATTTTTTAATTTTAGAATTTTCCCGATTAGAAAGGAAAGTTCTCCACGTTAAAACACATTCTTACGAAGTCCCAGAAAGTTTGGTTTATTTCTCATGTAGAATATGCAAAACATCTTTTACTAGTCGCTTGGAGCATCAGCAACACCTTCAAGAACATCGAATGAAACAAGAGAAATTAGGCACCAAATTTCCTTGTGAAATATGCGACAAGGTATTCACATCGAAATACCTTCTACAAAGACACATGGACATTCATAACGGCAAAAAAGAATTTCTTTGCACAGTTTGTGGCAAAGCTTTCAACAGAAAGAGCTATTTAAATAGCCATTTGAAAATCCATACGGGAGAGAAACCGTATGAATGTAAACAATGCGGAAAAAAGTTCAGACAATCATCATCTTACAATACACATTTAGTAATCCATACAGGTTATTATTTTATCTGTAATTATTTGTAGATGTTTCATGATTTCTTTTGTTATTTTAGGAGAACGGTTGTATAAATGCAACAGTTGCGATAAGAATTTCAAACAGAAGACTCACTTGAAGCGGCACGAATTGATTCACTTCGGCGCCAAACCGTACAAATGCTCTTATTGCGATAAAACCTTCGCGCAGAATTCCAATTTAAAGGCACACATGCGAGTTCATACAGGAGAGACTCCGTTTTGTTGCACGAAATGTTCGCGTTCGTTCTGTGATTCAGGAAGTTTGAAGAAGCACATGAAAGGACATAAATAAGATATTGATTATGTTTAAGTTACATTCCTGAGAAGTTATAGGCCTTCAATGTGGAAAAATTGAAAAAAAAATAATATCTCATTGTCAGTAGTACTCAAACTTAAAACAACTATATTTGGTATACAGATTGATTCATTTTTCATAGGTAATTTTTAAACAATACATTAAATAAAAACATTTTTTTATTCTTTTTTTTTTAATTTCTGTGTCGTTTTGATGAAAAAGTATTTCACACTATCAATGTTACTTAAAATCGTCGATAATAATTCAAAAATTGGCTATATTGAGTTAAAGTTGGGTTAAACAACATATTTTAGGCTTCCTTACATGCTCCTGCTCTTGTAACGTTTTTATGCGGGACACCCTGTATATGGGTATGTGCAAATTTGTTTGATATAATTATGATCAATTCTATAAATTGAACAAAGAAAGATTATTAGAATATCAGTGGTTAGAGTGAGAAAGTAGCAATTCCACGATATCACTCTTTCGTTTTCCTTTAAAAGAAGCCTAATAGAAGTTGTCTTTATTGCTCCCATAGACCATATTGTGTACAAATTTGCACTTATGTATATGTATATGGTAATTTATGACCCACCTTTTTGTTACATCATGTATATTAGATTCCCTTTATTAAAAAAGATTGTTTATTTTGGATTAGGTTTTTGTACTTATTAGCTGTTATAATGATGAATTGCTGTTATGATTATAGATTTGTACAGGGTGGAACATTAGTATGGAATGGAAAAGCTCAATATATCAGTTATTGTAGAAGATATACAAACAACTTCATTACAAAAGTTGTAGATCTTTTTAAGCGGCTTATTTTAAAAAAAGTTACATTTATACAGTGTTTCGTTTTTCTGTGGTTGACGAAACTTATACGTTTTTAAATGCAACACCATGTTTTTTATTCAAAGATTGAATTTAACTCGTTTTCAGCTTTCCAAAAATATAATATTGTATAATGTTATATTCAGTGTTTGTTATGACCACTTTTCCACGAAAATTATACTAAGTTTACACCACTCTGTAGAAACCAAATGGATTGAATTGAAAATAAATTTCAGGTTTCACAACATTTCCAATATCCTGAAAATGTACAAAATTACCATTTTACAGGCAGATGGATCCAAACGCAAAAGTAACATTTTCTCAGTTATTCATATAAGTATATTCATACTCATAAGTTATAAACTTTTATGAGTAGGGCAATGATATTTCCCAAAAACTAAGAGTCATGTGTATTAGTAAGTTACGATATAACTTAACTATACTAATAAAAAAATAGTAATCTACCGCGTTTATCACAGAGATGTCCGTTCAGCTCACGTAGTTTTAATTAGGCAAAAAGAAGAACCCCCAGGAAATATATGACGAGGAGGTTACGAGGATATCAGCGTTACATGCAAATTGTGTTTTACAATTATAACATGCAAATGCATAATGCACTTTTAGATAAAATATGAGATAGTAGCGTGTAGTAACGAAACGGATAGAGTGCGGTTTGTAAAGCAGGCACGAATTACCAATTTAAACCGACATTATATTGTGCGCCGGAATCGGTTAAACTATTTATTATTACGTTGTTATATGTACCTGTTGGCTGTTATACCAAATTATGTTCTTGTTTGGCCCGAATTCGCGGAAAATTGATTGAGAGCTCCATCGAATTTTCAAATATACACGTCCAGTATCGCTCCAAATACGCCCTATTACCTATACCCCTGTCTAAAATTAAACTCATTAGCCAATGTAAACATTGATTAAGCAATTACTCCCTCTTAGAACTATAAAAATTTGGAAATGACATAGTATAAAATTTAGTGGGCTAATTTACCTCTCTGTAATTCCTCATAGATACGCTAATGAAGTCGATGATAACAAATCTAACCGAGAGCACTCGGTATTAGGGAAAATAAACAGGAATATTTTCGCACGAGAATCTGAGTTTAGTGCTTTAAGTACCTATCTAACGACTCAAATTCTCCATTGTTATTTTAGAATTAAACTCGAGAACAATGTAGCTTTTAGCGAAAGGAACTCGATAGCACTTAAACGAGGTTAATATTGAAATTATCGCTTTTGCGAGGGTTTCGGTATTGATTGGTGAAGCTACAACATTAATTTTCGGTGCATGTAAATGGGAAATTGCAAGCTGTTCGAGAGAACATGTTAATTTTAATCAAGTGTACGAAAATACCTATCTATGGCTAGTAAATTTTATCGGACAAAATGGAGGAGAGAGATTTCAATAAAAAAAACATCGAGTACTGCCAACTACTCGGCACAAAGCTTTATGTAGTGACTGCGAGATTAGACTACCTGCGAAATAAATGTCTTCGGAATTTTAAAACTTCCGGATTTTATCGCGATTGGAGCGAGCGCCAAACGTTCCTCATTTATATGGAAATATTTACAACTTGGTGTGATCGTTTTGCTAAAGAACGACGACGAACACGTTCCAAAACTTTGTGAATTTCTGAGCCGGATTATGTGCCGTTTTTGGACTCGGCGCGCTTTTCCAACGGTAATTTCCAAAACTTTTTATGCGCCGGATGGCTTCTAGTTTATACGGACGAATCTATTAAAGTGCGCCCGAGGCTGCAATTAACATTTTTATAGCGGAATCAGAGCCAGATGCAGATAGAAATCTTTATATTGTGAGAGTTGGAAAAATGCCTATTAGCCGAACTACACTTTCTATACAAAAATTGCGGCCGAAACGGCCGAAGAAATTGAGGCAAATATTGCGATTAATTGACCGTCATTTTACAAATGATTATTCTTTTATTTGAAATTATTTTAGAGGTTTTCTGACATTTTTTTAAAATTGATTTAAATACCTAATTATTATTTCAACAGCAAATTGAATTAGTATTTTTTTAAAAGTTGAATAAGTGTCTAAATTCTTTTCCTAGCACACATATTTTTTATTAGCAGCTAATTAAGAAGTGCCATTTTTTCAATGCCATAAGCTGATATCTATTTTTCTGATAGGCAATTCCAAAACTCAAACCCGGAGAGTTCTAAATGATTTCAGAGAGTTCTTAATCATTCTAAACTATTTTAATTAGTCCTGAAGCAATCTAAATTATTCTGGTTAGTTCTACATCATCCTAAACAGTTCTAAATGGTTAACGACCATTCTGATTGGCCCTGAAGCAATTTAAATGATTCTGAATAGCTCTAAATTATTCTAGACAGTTCTAATTCGTTTAGGTAATGGTTCAGGTCGTTCATTCGTTATTGTAGCGTTTAAAATCATTCTAGACGGTTCTAAATGGTTATCGACAATTTTGATATGTTTTGAAGAAATTAAATGAATCTGGACAGTTCTAAATTGTTCTAGGCAGTTCTACTTCATTTAGATGCATTCTAAATCATTCTGAACAGTTCTAAATCATTCTAGACATATGTAAATTATTCTAGACAGTTTTAACTGGTTCTCCACAATTTCAAAGATATTATTTATAACCAAAAAGTATCTCATAATCAGGCACTTTCCTTTACCAAATTTTATAAATTAGCAAAAATAAAACCCCCTAAACAGTCAATAAATTACAGTCGAAAACTATTTCGACACGTATTTCTTATTTGAAATATTTGATACGTTCAAACACAATAAGTTTCTATGACTGACATCCGACTGTGAATAACGGCGCGAAGCCGTCGAAGAAAACGCGATAAAAGCGAAAGGAAAGAAAAAACTCTTGCGTTATTGAAAACAAAAACTCGTTTCGGGCCCCCCTTTAAATATGATAAATAATTCCCGATAGATCTTGATCCGGGAAGCTTGGCATAGCGAATCCATCTCGGTAAATCTGGATCGGTGGTAATCGAGAAATTGATATGTTTTGTTTTCGACTAATATTTAGCGGAAATTTCGTCTAGCCCTTCGGTTTATTTAGCTTTATTCGCCCTAAAGCCGTTCGAGAAATAAACGAGATACTTTTCAATAATAAAGAGGAATATTTTATCAATCTCCGTTACCTCCTACAGGTTCAATTGATACATCGCAGGGAGCAGTGGAAAAGTTTCTACCTGCATGACGCATCGGCTTTGTGTCTTTCGCCTCCCCTTTTTTAGTTAATTAAAATGTTCGAAAACTTCCGCTCGAGGATAATCAATTATTGACTTATTTCAAAGCCTCAAAGTTGTAATTAAATTTACTCGGTTCCTATAATCGCGAGACGCTGACTGGGAGGCCTTCGGCGATGCGAATAAAATTAGCGTAATTTTTGCGGAAAATGGAAGTCGCAGGGGAGCTTTTAATCATAACTGTGACTGGGCCAATCAAACGACAAAAAAATAAGCATATAAGGAAACTTGTATTTTTACAAATAAGTAATGGTGTTCGGCGATAGTTGAAATATTTCCTTCCACACCTTCATCCTATCCGCCTCTGGATTTGTGTGTAGAGTGAGCTCAGTGTTCAAATCTAGGAAATAAACTTCGTTTTGATCCACTGGTTTCCATATTATTTTTAAATCATTTCCTGGTGGTGTAGGGTTAGAAGTTTTTGAGAAATTAGTAAATAATTTTACGAATCTCCTTATTGCTGTTGTTTCTATATCACCACGATACATTCCAACCTTTTCTAAAGATCCTTCATCTAGATAAAAGAGGTATCCCAAGTCATCACCGTGACAAGCACCTGAAAAAGTACTTTTATTATCCAATCAATTCGAATTCTATATCTAAATATGAGTACCTTTAGATTTAAGTTTACCCCTTTTCTTTAATTTGTTCAAACCAGCGTCTATGGACATTCTGTATAGATATACCGGTTGGGAAGAGGCCTTGGCGTGAATTTTAGCACTGCCAATTGTACCAGCAATGAAGTCATAATCACTGTATATCTAAAAAATCAGGAATGTAATTAAAGTTAAAGTTAAAGTTTCTTCACTTTTACCCATTCTTTTTCATTATAAGGTGGTTGCAAGTATAAATGAGCCAATTTTTTCTTAATAACCAATCTGTTGGGATCATTTAGTTCCAATTCCATATCCGGATGAATAAAATCGTCCAAATTTATGTCAGATTCTACTAGTGATTTATTAACGATTTTCATGAGCAAACCTTCCCTGTCGCAATATCCAAAGATTATAGGAATTTTGTTGTACTGCCCGGATACGATTAATTTTCCAGGATGCGA